CCTTGCGTTTGCACAGCAGAAGGTGAAACCACTGAGCTAAATCCCCGGCTCTAGCTAACTCTTCTTTACACATCACTATTGAAAGTTAAATGTCCTCCCTGGCCAAATTCTCCCCAGTATGGGAGAGGTGCTTGTGTTCTCCAGGTGGTTGCCTCTTACCTTTGATTGCAAATACCTGCTGTCAGTATAATTCCTCATCACCTTGTGGTTGTCAGCCAGATCCTGGCCGCCTTCTAATGTGGTATCCCAAGCATAGTCCTCTTTCTTCCTTTGTAAAATCTCCTCTAGCAATTAGAAAGAATGTAATGGGCTTTTACTGAAAGTTAGATCCCAGCTGGGAAATTATAGCATAGAATAGGAACCAATCTAAAAACGAATATTAGAATTTCTGACTTCCGACTAGGAAGCAGAAAGCTGGAGAGTGTTGCTTCCACCCTAACAAATGAGAACAACTTAGGTAATTGACAAAATCGTACATTTCCTTGAATCCATCGCACAATTCAGTTCACTAGGCAGCCTGAAATCTAAGGAAAGGCAAGGGTCTCCAAGGAGAGGCAGGTTGTACCATTAGGGCAGGGCATGGGAAAATGCTGAGCCACCATACCAGCAGCTAAGAAGAGTTCTGTTAAATACTGTAATGAATTTCTAAAGGTTAGGTATAAGCTAGTTCTCAAATATAGAATACTTGGGTGACACAGAAACAAGAAGGATCCATATCTACTTGTAGATTCATCTTTCCCAATGTTCAGAAGAAAGATTAGGGGCAGGGCAGACACCAAGAGGAAGTCTAAGTTTGTGATGGGTGGAGGAGGACAGCAGTTCCTGCTGTGTGAAAGCCAAGAGGCTCTGTTTAGGTGCTTTTCTCTTAGGAATAAAAGCTTTAAGATACAGTAAATGAAATTAAGTCAGGGCCGGAGATTTAGCTCAGTGGTGCCACTGCTTGTCCTGAGTTCAATCCCTGGTACCAAAAAAAAGAAATTAAGTCAGACACAGAAAGTTAAAATATCATGTGATTAGGGCCAAGGATTTAGCTCAGTGGTTTCGCCTCCTGCTGCGCAAGCTCGAGGACCTGAGTTCGATCCCCGGTACCAAAAAAAAAAAAAAAAAATCACGTGACTTCTCTGTTATGAGAAACCTAAAATAAAAAATAAGATAAAAGACAAGACTTTTTGGAGATAGAGGAGGGGCTCAAGGAAAGGGGGAAGCTTGAGGGGAATAGAGGAGTCAAAACTCATCAAGATGTGTACATATATGAACAAATTCCCCAATGTGGATGGAACTATTATATATTGTAAATATGCTGGGAGAGGGGGACAGAAACAGATCTTGAAGCCCTTAAGCCTGCCGTGGTTGCGAACCTGTAGCACACTTGCCTCAGCGGGCTGTTTGTGTCATTGGAAGCTCTAAAAGGTTTGCCATCACTGCTTGTGGCTGGGTGATTGGTAAAAGAAAACATTTTAAAAACCCTCTATGTCAGGAAGAAGGACAAGAATCCTTTTGTGGCCTGGATATTAGAGGTGTCTTATGCCCCTAAGAGGTTAGAATCATGAAAGGTAAGAGGTGGAATCATTAAAATAAAGTCATTAGAAAGCCTCAGCTCTGAGAGCCAGGGACACAGATCTCACCTAAACTGAGGTGGAGGAGGACCAGAAATGACCCTTCCATCCCATCTCCCACCAACCTGGAGAATACGGAGTAGCAAGAAACAGCTGTCTTCTCCTGGGAGAGGGACAGATCCTTTTCTGTTATTGGATGGGGAATCTAAAACAATTGTGACTAATTAATATGTTAAAGATTCTTATGGAAAAGGTATATAAATGTGCCTAATTAGCTGAAGAATAGCATCAAAGACATGGAAGCTATATGAAGTAGTCAAATAAAAATGCTAAGGGGAAAAACATAGTAGCAGAAATGAAGAATACCTTTGTCAGAATCATTAGTGGGATCCACACATCTGAGGAGGGAGTTGGTGGATTTGAACTTCAAGATAGATCAATACATATTATCTAAACTGAAAAAGAAATAAACAAGTCACTTGTGACGGTGGAGAAAGAAAACAACCAGAACTGAGCACTCCAGAGCTGGAGGAGGGTATCAGAAAGGTAAGATGTGTTTTTGGAATCTTGGAGTAAGGATGAGGCAGATTAAATATTTGCAGAGGGTAATGGCTAAGAATTTTCCAAAAATAGTGAAAGTCATCAAACAAGCTCAGAAAACACCAAGAAGGATAAATGCACACCCAGAACATCATAGTCAAGTAATCAAATAATCCAAGATGAAAGAAAACCTAAAATGCCACAAAACTAAAACACATTACATACAAAAGAACAAAACTAAGAATTTAGTAGACTGACTTTTTGTCAGAAACTATACTAAAAGACAATGAACTCTTTAAGGTGGTAAAATTTTCAGAAAGCTAACTCAAAATTCATTGAAAAGATGTATCAACATTGAAAACAGAACCTTTTGACAAAAACTGAGGGAATTGTCAGCCATCCTGCACTATGAGAAATATTAAAAGAGCTTCTTCAAGATTGAAGGAACCTGATATAAAGTTGTATTTTCACAGAGTAACGATCTCTGAAAGCAGTTAAAATGAAATTACATACAGAAAATATTTTTCTTATTTTAATTACTCTGAAATGTAAGTCACTGAGAAGTAGCAATGTAGGTTGGTTTAAAAGTGTGCACAAAGTAAAATACATGGAAATTATAAAAGATGAGAGGAGCGAATTAAGCGTGTACTCTTACAAGGCTAGGTCTTCTACTTAACATAGAGCAATATAATATTACTTGAAGATATGTGTTGTAAACCCTAGACTAACTAGGCATTTAAATAGGCATGAAAAGTGCAATTGTGAAAAAGCCAAACTTACAGAAGTAGAGAAAATGCTGGTTACCAGAGGTTGAGGGGTTGGAGAAGTAGAGGATGGGGAGTGGCTGATTTTGGGTACCAAGTTCCAGTTATATAGAGGGAAAAGTTTTCACACAGCAAGATGACTATGGTAATAATGTGTTACATATTTTTAAATTGCTAAAATAATAAATTTTACATGTTCTTAAAAAAACCCCAGTAAATATGTGAGGTGATAGGTATGTTCATTAGCTTGCTATAATCACTCTATTATGCATACACATGTCAAAACAACACTTACTCCATAAATACGTGATTATTGTGAATTTAAAACAAAATCCAGTTGTGGAGATATAAGGCAGAAAGAAAAAAGCAGGCACATATATGCAAAAGGAGCAAAAACAGATGGAATAAATACAACACAGCCAGCGAGATGGTCGGCTACAGCCTAATCATATCAATAATCCCCATATATTAAATGTAAATGGATGAATATGCCAATTAAGAAACAGAGATTGGGAGAATGAATAAAAAATTAACTCATCTCTTTGTAAAGGATTTGTCTTAATTATAATGACTTGGTATGTTGAGAGTGAACTAATAGAAAAAGATACATCATGTAAGCATTAATAAAAAAACTAGAACGGTTATGTTAATATCAGACAAAGTAAATTCAGAACATGGACTATTACAAAGGGTAAAGAAAGACAATATCCAGTGATGAGGAATGAGTTCATTAAGAATACATAACAGTCCTATATGTAGATGCACCTAACAAGAGATAGTTAAAGACTAATAACACAGGAAGGAGAAATGGGTAAATCTGCAACTACAGTTAAAGGTTTCAGCAAGCCTTCAAACTTGAACTGAGCCATACTATGAACTCCCTGGTTCTCAACTTCCCTAGTTCTCCAGCCTGTCATGGGACGTTTTAGCCTCTATGATCAAATGAGCCCATTGTCCCAGTCAACCCTTTCTCTGTCTTCCTTACCTCTCCTTTCCCTCCTCCTCCACCCTTTCCCCTCCCCTCCCCTCCTTTCCTCTCCCCCTTTCCCTCACTCTTGCTCTCTCTTTCTCTCCCTTATCTGTTCTGTCTGTCTGAATAACTCTCACCCAAACTACTCAATGAATTTTAAAGTATTAAGTATATTTAACATTGTAGAATTAATATTTTGCTCATGGTTTTTGAACCTACTTGCATAAGTGAAATGGGACTATAATTTCTATTTTGTATTCTCCATGTTGCCTTCTTTAGCTGTCACCATTTTATGTCCCACTTCTCCCAACAAAGACGGTTCCCCATCTTTCTTTTTCCTCAAGTCTAGAAAGCCCTTTTTTGGAAATTTGAGTCCAAACAGAAAATTCTTATGTTATTATACTGAGAAAATTAGTTTGCTTAGTCTTAACAATCTTGTTCCAGTATAAATCCAGTGAGTTGTCATTCTTAATCAAAATCCCATTATTTTGGGTTTCCTTGTAAAGCTCCACTAAGAACCAGCATAAGCTTTAAAATGACAGCTTTAAAAATGTTTTACAATTCACATTTTAGAAAGGGCATGTGTCAGAGAATATTTGTTTTTCAACCCAATCTGTGGTATCTTTAAGTGGAATGGGGTTCCAGAAGATTTTATCCATTTCCAGAACAAATTCTTGGAGGTGTGCCTCTACTATTTATATCCCAAGCCAATAATTTCAAGTAGAATAGAAGCCATATTTGAGAAATGGACTCAAAGAGCTGAGTTGAAAGACTTATATTTCTTTTTCTTTAAAAAGAAAAAGAAATTCCTGCATTCCTGAAACTGAAAGTTCAATTATTCATTCTTTCATTCAGCAAATACCTTAAGACTTACTCTATTTGAGGCACTTGCCTAAGGGCTGAAGATATGAGGCTAAGGATTGAAAAAACAATAAGAGTTCTGGCTTCATGGATTCATTGTAATTAGAGAGCCAACCCCAACCATATAACTACTTAACTGAAAGCCAGGTAGTGATAAGTATTTGGAAAAAAAATAATGCCAGATATAGAAACAAAGCGACATAGGATGCTATTATAAAGTATGGTGTAGAAAGGACTCTACAGCATTTTTCTGTCTTTATTTTATTCTTTATTTAATACCTTCCTTTTTTCTTTCTTTCATCTGTAAAGAGCTAACTTCTGTGCAGAGACCAAATATAATTCAGTGAAGTGAGGTAGCCAGCCACACAGACTGGCTGATTGAAGAATCTTCCAGACAGAAGACCTGAGGAATATCCTGACATGTATGTATACTTGGCTTGTATAAAAACCAATGAAGTGGCGAGTGTTGCTGGAGCAATGTGAGACAGGAAGCAAGTGCAGGTGATCAAGTCTGAGACACAGGCAGGCCTGAGAAGGTGAGGACCTAGAAGGCCATGGTAAGAAATTTCCTGGGTGCCTACTCTCCTTGCACACACACGTATAGATGCATACACACACACACATGCACACACACACACAAACACACTCAAATATAGCCTCCAGTAGAGACTTGGTAGTGAGGGGAAGGTGTTGTTTTTGTTGTGGTTTTTGTTGTTAGAAGGACCTAACAATAGAACAGGGGAAATAATGCAGGCTGGAAAAATATGGAGATCCATTGCCAGCCCTGTATATACTCACAGGGAGGCTGAGGAAGGCTGAGATTGTGCAAGGGCTGCTTAGAGGAATTTAGATGAATATTATATTTCTAAGTTCTGGGTACAATAACAGGGATGAAGTCACTCTAGCGCTAAAAAAAACAAAAACCAACCAAACAAAATCCCACTTTTTCCCCCCTTTAGATTACTACTGGTTTATCTCTTCTAGTAAAAAAGACATCTGCTTCTATATCTAGAAGAGCCTTGTGGCCCTGAATTATAGTGTGGTAATTCATGCTTAACTATTTGAATGGCTGCATTCAAATGGAGCTTTGCATCTCCTAATGCACAAGATACTAATTATTAGGCTATAATCCACACTGTGTGAGTTCTTATTGCTTATCTTTCTTGTAGGATACAGATAACTGGGAACATGTAAAGCCTGTGAATGATCGGTATGCTTACTCCAATATCAGACAAGCAATTCTGCAGAACACCAAAGAGGAGAAAAGTGTAAAGAAAAATAACAAAATGGCCTTGGAGAGAATAGCATCATTTTTCACAAAGTGCATTAACTAATTGACACTTGTAGCAACAGCCCACAGCCCACTCATATGAAAACTTTCTATCAAATCTTTAGTCCCTCTTGTAAGAAAAAGGTCCCATGAAATAAACGTGCAGCCTTTTAAAGGAGATTATAAAAAGCTTTGACATTTGCCTGTGAGTTCACCTACAGATCTGATGAATCTTTTGTGATAGATTTGGGAAACCTATTATTTTCTCATAGCTTAAAGAAAAAGCAATGGTATCTTTTGAAAGTTCAAGAACTAGAACTTGTGAAGCCATGGGAATAATATAAATTGGTAGAAAACAATAACATTCTCACAGCTGGACCATCTGGTGGGTTATTCAGACAGAGCCGAATATATCACTAGCGGCTGCCATAAAGCACCAGAGGAAGGGAAGAGCTGGCATCCACTTCTCGTTTTCCAAGGCTTAAATTACTTTAGTTCCTTAAGTTCTAGAAAGGAGGACTTCATTTGAAATGGTCTCAGCAGCATCCTCCAAAGTGTGATCTTTTTAAACAATTATGATGTTAGAGGAGATTGGGATAAGAGTCTTATCACTGTCAACTCCGTGAATGTCCTCCTTTTAGTAAATGTCACATGATCCACTCTACACTTTCCTATGTAAAGGACACTTTCTGTTTTTATTTACTTGTTTTTAAAAAGTTCTCCTCTCCTTAACTCAGGATAATGGGTATAAGAACACTTCTGACAGTACATTCTCAGGTTATATGTCCTGCCCACCCCCCTACCCCATCCCCTAATACTGAGGATTGAACCCAGGGACTTCACACTGAGATACATTCCTAGACCTTTTAAAATTGTTTAGCTTGAGACAGCGTCTCATTAAGTGGCCCAGGCTGGGTGTGAACTTGCAATCATCTTGCCTCAGCCTCCCAGAGTGCTGGGATTACAGGTGTGAGCCAGTACATGTTCAGTGTCCTACCTTTATTTTTATTAGTACATGTTTTCCACACAGAGTGACTCTATTAATTGTGGGTAATTGATGTATGTACATGAAACATCTTAATTTGTTTTATATCCCCTTCCCTGCCCCCACCCCTTCCCTCCATCTCCTGGTGCTCTTTCCATTTACAAAAGATCTATCTCCCTTTTTAATTAGATGAGATCCCAGTTGTTGATTCTTTGTGATATTTCCTGTGCAATTGGGGTTTTGTTCATAAAGTCTTTGCCTACACCAGTACCTTCAAGAGTTCTACCTTTTCTATCTTCCAGCAGATTTAGTGTTTTTGTATTAATATTTAGATTTTTGATCCATTTCAAATATCATCTTATTAAAAACCTTTTGCACAGAAAAGAAACCACCAACAGAGTGAAGAGACAACCCACAGAGTGGGAAAAAAGTTTGCCAGCTGCTCCTCAGACAAAGAACTAATATCTAGAATATATAAAGAATTCAAAAAAAATCAGACCCCCCCCCCAAATTAAAAAACCCAATCCAAAAATGGGCATCTGAAATGAATAGACACTTCTCAGATGAACTAGAAATGGCAAATAAATATAGGAAAAAATGTTCAACATCACTGGTCATTTGAGAGATGCAAATGAAAACAACACTGAGATTCCATCTCACTCCAGAAAGAATGGCTGCTATCATGAAATCAATAACAAATGCTGGTGGGGCTGTGGGGGAAAAGGAACCCTTCTCTACTGTTGGTGGGAGTGTGAATTGGTGCAACCACTGTAGAAATCAGTCTTGAGATTCCTCAAACAATTAAAACTAGAGGTTCCATTCAATGCAGCTATTCCCCTTCTTGCTATCTTCCTGGACAAGTTAAAAACATCATACCACAGTGATATATGCACACCCATGTTTATAATAGCTAAATTTTGGAAACAATCCAAATGTGCATCAATGAATGGATGGATAAAGAAGATTTTTTTATACAGTGAAGTGCTACTCTGCCATAAAAAAGGATAAACTTGAAACATTTCTAGGTAAATGGATGCATCTTGAGACCATACTCTTAAGTGAAATAAATTGGACACACATGTTTAAATATCACATTGTTTCTCTGGTATGAAAACCCAAGAGGGTAAATAATGACTGAAATGTAGAATAAATAATAGGAAATAGGAAGAAAGTATTCAAATGGGAAGAGGAACTAGTGTAGTGGGAGAGGGAAAGGAAGGAAGAGCAAATAGAAAAAATATGTAAACAAAGCTTTTGTAAATAGGGAGGGGAAGAGAGGTTGAAGGGAGAGGAGGGGATTGGAGAAAAAAGAGTCAAGATACATCATGTACAGGTACAAATTCCATATGATAAATGTTATCATTATGTATATCTAAAGTGTACCAATAAAATTAATTTTTTTTTTTGGTACCAGGGATCAAACTCAGGTTCTTGCGCTTGGGAGGCAGGCAGTGGAACCACTGAGCTAAATCCCCGGCCCCCTATAAAATTAATTTTTAAAAAGATAAAATATACCTATCTCCCTGTTTCCTTGTATCTATCATTTATTTTGCTCCTCACTTATGCTTTGGGTTTTTCATATGAGAAAAACTATATGGTATTTAAGCTTGTATATTTGATTTATTTCACTTAACATTATTGTCTTAAGATGCATCCACTTTCTTATAAATGACTCGAGTTTGTCCTTTTTATAGCAGAGTAGTATTCTACTATGTATAAATACCACATTTTCTTTTTCCATTTGTTTGCTTGATGGACATATAGGCTGCTTCCAGGATTCAGCTATTATGAATTGTGCTGCCATTGGTATGAATGTATTGTTGTAATATGATATACTTAACTCTTTGAAAAAGATGTCTAGTAGGGAGATAGCTGGGTTCAATGGAATTTTTAATTTTAGCTTTTTGAAGAATCTCCATATTGCTTTCTATAATGGTTGTAATAGTTTACATTCCTACTAACAATACGGGAGAGTTCCTTTTTCACCACAGCCTTGCTAGTATTTGTTATTATTTGATTTCTTGATGATGGCCATTCTTTTTGGAGTAAGATGATATCTCAGTGTTGTTTTAATTTGCATTTCTCTAATGGCCAGTAATGTTGGACCTTTTAAAAATGTTTTTAAGAGCCTTTTCTATTTCTTCTGAGAAGTGTCTGTTTTTGTGCCAGTACCATACTGTTTTTATTGCTGTGGCTTTGTTATATAATTTGAAATCCTAGATTAAGATGCTCCTGCTTTGGTCTTGTTTGCCAGATTGCTTTTGCTATTATTGGTCTTTTCTTGTTCTATATGGGTTTTAAGATTAATTTTTTCAGTTCTCTGAGGAATGCTGTTTGAAATTTTCATTTTGATTGAGATTGTATTAAATCTGTATATCAGTTTTGGAAGTATGACCATTTGACTATGTTGGTTTTGCCTATCCAGGAACATGGTATATCATGCATATCCTGATGTCCTCTTCAATCTCCTTTTTCAGAGTATTGTATTTTTCTTTGTAGAGTTCTTTCACTTCCTTGGTTAAGTTAATTCCTAAGTATTTAATTTGTCTTGATGCTATCATGAATGGCATTGTTTTCCTAACTTCTTTCTTGTTGAGTTCATTATTGGTGTACAGGAATGCTATTGATTTTTGTATCCTGCTACATTACTGAATTTGGTTATTAATTCTAGAAGTCCTTTGATGGAATTTTTTGGTCTTCTATGTAGAAGACCACGTATCTGCAAAGAATAATTTGACTTCTTCCTCTCCTATACATATCCCTTTTATTTTTTTCTCTTGCCTGACTTCTCTGGCAGATGTTTTGAGTACTATATTGAACAGGAGTGGTGGTAGTGGACATCCTCATTTTGTTCCTGATTTTAGAGGGAAAACTTTCAGCTTCTCCCTATTTATATGATATTGGCCATTAGTTTGTCATAAATGGCTTTATCAGTCTTCTTAATTTTAAATGAGAATGATAAGAGTGCTTCATAGAATTGTTGAGAGGAGGTCATTGTGTTCCCTCTAGTCTGATGGCCCACCCTCACACTGTAGGAGTACTTTTTTTCCTACTTTGACTTGGCTCAAACTCACTCTGCAGTCTCTTTCCCTATCTTTAATAAAACTTTGCTACCATTTAAAAAAATTGTTGAGAGAAATAAATAAATTGAAAGCTTAGAACTGTATCTGTCACATACTAAACACTATACACATGTTCTTCATCATCATAATAATAGTTGTTACTTCTATTGCTAAATTCAATAGATCATCCTTTTCCTTGATGGTTAGTAGGGTACAAAG